ATCTTCCTCCATGGTATCCGAGAGCCAGAGGCCAAATATGTGGGTAACCCCCAACACACTTCAAAAAAAAAAAGAGAAGAAACTAAAGGAATTTTCGTATCATAAAGACACAGAAATGAAAATTTGGGACTTCTCTGGTAGTCACTAACAGTGACTGGAAACTTCCATGTTTCACGCATGATGAAAAACAAAGGACGGTGCACATGGCATCAGGAGTAGCCGCTGTTAGCACCGGGCCAGCAAATGTCCTGACCACAGCTCTGAGGATCTGGCAGAACACTGCATGACTCCTGGCCAGCCAGCATTCTCCTGTACAAACAACCCCAGGGTTCTAAGTATTACCACGGTGACTACAAAGCCACTTGTACTTTATTTTCATGTCCTAAAAGCTATACTGCAGAGCTCCTGTCTCACAAGGAGTGGAATGTCAGCTGGAACAACTTTGGTACCGGGAAAGTACAACATGAGCAAAAACCCCAAGTCACAAATGTCTGCTTTCAACTATAACATGACATCACCGGCTACTCAAGCAGTGACAGTACCAGCAGAAGGTAGCCAGCAGCACTCGCAGCAGGTGCCGTGACACACCGAGAGGAGTTCCCCAGGCCCCCAGACTGCCTTGTTCCAGTTACTGATCCCAAAATTCAGCAAAAATAAGTTACTCTCTACAAAGCAGAAACTCCTATTATTCTATATAAAGGAACAAGGTGTTCAGAAATGTTCAAGAAAATCCTGTAAGGAGATAACTGAGGCTCAGAAACGTTTTAAAGATCAGAGCCAAGATTCCCAAGTCCCTGCCAAAGCCTAGTGCTTACAAAACCCTGTTCATTTATTTGCAAAGTCCACACTGCTTCCAAATTGTCCAACAGGTACCAGAGGCTGTGGCTCAGTGAGGACAGTGCTTGCCATACATGACATCCCAGGTGTGAGTCTCAACACGAAACAATACGAGACAGTAACAAAGCAGCTAGAATTTTCCAGTTGGGAAGAGGAGGAAAAAATCTGCACCACAGATGTTTAGTCGGCCATCAACATCCAAATCTAAGGTAAACTTTGACTCAGGGACATTTCTTCTAGGAGCACAGGCTTTTCAAACTCTACAAAGACGAGCTGTTTGCACCCTGCCTACCACAGGGCTGGAAATGCAGCGCAGGAAGAACACAATGGAGCCACGGACGCCATGCTCTCGCTTCACACATCTAGAGGTCACAAGTCCACTCTGAAAGGCTTTTGCCTCCACTGTCAGCTTCGTGTCACACTACAAATGGAGAGTCGGCATTTCCTGGCTCAGATATGAAACAAATGCACCTTCTTCCATGAATCTTGGATCTGAGGTCTCCCCAGTCTCAACAGAGCGGACGATGCAAGCTGACCTTGTAAGCTTGCTAGCCGAAGCTCTCATGTATATCATGGAGGAGACTGGCCTGCTCAGAAGCTACACCGCAGGCTGAGCAGCTAGAGGACGACAGCCCTGGTGCAGTGTAGATGGGACACCTCAGGCACACTGGTCGTTTCGTGTACAGCTCAGCTCTCCTCTACAGCTGGAATCTGACAACAAAAAAATCTCACTCTTCCTAGTGTGAAGAGTCAAATTTAAACACAGAGGGGGCTGGAGAAAAGGCTCAGTCGTTACTTGGGGCTCTTCCAGAGAACCCAAGTTTAGTTTCCAGCACTCACATTAGCTTGCTTACAACCCAGAAGCAGCGGCACCCTCTTCTGGCCTTTGTGGGCACCTGCTTCCACATGCGCACACAGCAACTCAGACAGACAGACTCACTCTCCACTGAGCAACTCAGACACAGACAGACAGACAGACAGACAGACTCACTCTCCACTCCCCCATTATTACAGATAAACCATCCTTTACAATTAGTTTAAGAGAGAAACCCACACACCATTTCACCACAATACTCAGAGGAAAACTCTAACCATCACTGTATTAAAATCTGGTCTCCAGCGCTGTGGAACAACCCTCTTGTACACCGTAAAGCTCTGTCACTCAAACTAGTTTAATAACGTTGGCCGGCCAATAGCCAGGCAGGAAGTACAGGCAGGACAACCAAACTGAGAATGCTGGGAGGAAGAAGGGCGGAGAAAGGAGTCACAAGAGGACACAGAGAGAAGCCAAGATGGGCATGTCATGCTAAGAAAAGGTACCAACCAAGCCATATGGCAAAGCGGCTTTATAGATGAGAAATACTGGTTAATTTAAATGTGAAAGTTAGTTAACAAGCCTGAGCAATTGACTGAGCATTTGTAATATTGAGTCTCTGTGTCAGTTATTTGGGAACTGGTGGGCAGGAAAGAAAAGTCCGACCCCAGAATTGGCAAAATGGCTCAGGGACCGCCAAGCCCGACAACTTGACTTTGACCCATGGGACTCATATGCTAAGAGAGAACCAACAGCTGTCCGCTGACTTCCACACATAGCTGTGGCACATAAATACCCCACCCCCTTTAAAAAGTAAAAACCAAAAACAGGTTCCCAGAAAACAGCACACACCCAGAGTTAGCACAGCACCAAGACAAAGTACAATGCAAAGCAGCAGGTGCGTCCCTCTTTCCCGCCGTCCTAGTGAATGCCTGCTGAGTGCCTGGGTGAGGAAGATAGGAGCAGACAGGGGATGGCAAATCCTACCAAGTCCAAGGAGACGAGGTCAGGGCAAGAAATTTCAAGTCTATTCTGTAGATCTGAATATGAAGACAATTCAGAAGGCTGAACCCCAATCCTCAGATGTCAGCAAGCAGTCTGTGAATTTCATTCAGGGTTTAAAATTTAGCCCCCAACCTTTTCTCATCAGTTCCAAATCATACACAGAACTCTAAAGTCGTGTATATAATTGGCCACCCCCACAATGGACTTTGGGTAGTTCATACAGTACCTAAAACATCCTTCTCTGAGGAAGGACAAAGTCAAAGGAGCCATGACATTTCCATACTCAGCTGTAAGCCTACTCAACTACTGTGACAGCCAATGGACATGAGGTAGCCACCATGCTGGGCTGGCAGGAACCATGATATCTCACTCATTAACTAAGGAGAGAACATGTCATTTTTGGACAATCTTAAGTGCCAAGGAAGTATCAGACCCACCTGCTACATGGTTTACCGAATCCAGTCTTCGCCAAGCTAAAGGCAGCTGTCAATCTGGAATAGCTGGTTCTCTGAAACACCGCAGGCAGGAAACTGGTTTAGGACACATGACAAACCACTCAGTGTAAAAATTAATATGAGAAGGCATATGCCCGGCCTAAGAAACTAGCTTGTATAAAGGCATTAATTATGTGATGTAATTTAATTTCTTTAAAAATGGCACTGGATCAGGCATGGTGGTACTTGCCTGCAACCACAGCATTCAGGAGGTAGAGGCAGGAGGATTAAGAGTTTAGGGCCAGTCTGGGCTATATGAGACCCTGGGGGTAGGGTCTGGAGATAATTTGTTCTGGAAAGTGTCTGGCTCTCAGCCAGAGGTGGCTGCATATATCTGTAACCCAACAGTGAGGGAGAGGGTGTGGGCAGATCCCTGATGCTCACTGGCCAGCCGGCGTAGCCGAGCTGCTGACGCTCAGGTTCCCCTCCGTTTTAAAGAGAACAGGGAGAAATCAAGGTGGACCCACCTGACTCCGACCTCCAAGCGCGCCCACACTAGTGTCCACACAGAGCACATGTGAACTGCTGGCGAAGCAGGCGAGCGGAAAGCGATTTTGGAGCCAGTTCATAGTGTAGAGAAGCCGGCCTGCATTCTGGAGATCAAGAAAACCTCGCAACAAGTTCAGAACACTCTCTTGCCAGGGATGGTGGTGACTCACGCTTATAAGCTCAACATTTAGGAAGACTGTCGTGAATTTTGAAGCCAGCGTGGATTAAAGTGAATCTTTGCCTCAAAATACAAACATACATGTACAAATATACATGTATGACCTTTCTTGCCTTCAACTCATGTATCTACAAAAAAGAGCTTCTGGGGATCACACTTGACTGGCACCAAGAGAGGCCTAGACAAAACAGGCTAAGTCTCACTGCCTTGTAATCCTGGACACTGGCTCCATGCTTTGATCTGCCCTCCTCCGCAAAGGAGGGATAAAGGACTATTGGTAATGAAGTGACAAAACAAAACCAGCAGGCAAACAAACTATCAGCAAGGCCTTTCTTAGGGAGCTACTCAAGTCTCCTTAGTGTCCGATGTTTTTACCAGCATGACAGAAGACAGGTGAACAAGGCTCCAAGTCTCCCACAGGGTCATAGCTTACTTAACTACAGACTTGATTCACTGGCCATTAGCACCCAACCTTCCGACTAAATTCTTTGCCACTTTTTCCAGAAAATATTTACTGAGTTGTAACTTCAGTACACAGCACAGCAAGTCATGTGCCTTTAGAAAGGAAGTTATGAACGCAGCCAGACTGAGTCCCAGGGCCCATTCCTTTCCTTCACTGTAATCCCCCCACCCCAGAGCCTGACAGGCCTGGCCCTCAGTCACTCAGTGAGCAGCATCAGGCCCTGAGGCCACCAAGTACCAACTATTCTAACAGCAGAGGAATGCACCAATTTCCCTAACCGAGCCTGGCACACAAGTTGCATTTGTCAGAATAAGTAACCCAGAGACATTTTAAAAATCGACTGAGAACACTATTAAGTCTCTACTTACCACGTGGATTAAAACTACCAAGTCTCAGACTGGTGTTTAAGTATCAATGAAAGCACTATATATAGGCAGCATTCAAAGGATGGATAGGTATGAAAATACCCTACACACATTATTGAGTTCTATATATGGAAACACTTTAAGTTCAAAGTCATCAAAGTCACAGTTAACTAACATTTTTCATTAATATCAAATCAGAAACAGCAGACATGTGGACAGCTGAACTGTGCCTTCCTCTGACGTACACTGTCTTCTGTTCCTACCAAAGCTGACATTCCCATGTGTGGGACTGTCATGACTTCAGGACCCCTTTCAGAAAGAGTCAACACAGCAGCACACAGTTCACAGTCACAAGTTGCACATAAAGGGTTTATTTTGAATGTTTTAAGGAAGGATAGAGTTACATCATAATTATAAAAATTACTTACAGAATTAACAGAGTTGTACTGTGTATACTTCTAAATGCAGAGAACAGGGAACTGTCTACACGTTGTATAAAATAAAATTAAAATTAAAAAATGAATTCAAGCTCAAAAACTGAGGTCGTTTTATCTAGTTTTAAATGTGAACACGGACACCTCTGAACTCTACTCATTCATTCAAACTGCACCAATGATGGAGAATACGGAGAGCGCAGCATCCCCAAGGAACACAGAAACTTCGGCCGTGGTTATTTTGTCAGTAATTTTTCCTGTGTCATCTTTGGAGGACTTTCATCTCTTCAACAATCAGCATAAGAGTTTTCAGGCACTACAATCTGACAGTCAGAGCGGTCTTCTTTCTAACGGGTCTACAGTGTTCAGAGAGTCAGGCCCAATGCACTTTGGGGTTTGGCACATAAAACAAGACAAGAAATGAAATCTGGCTTAGAAGCAACTGTGATTTTTAGAGCGTGCACAGTCCCTTCGAATGCTGCGTGACATATACAACTGGAGTCACCTTCTGTCGGCGCTACGACTGCTTCACCGGTGCGTCTTTACCCTACAACCACTAGAACAGCACAGTAAGCAAATATACAGGAAACCAAAAGCAAATCAAACAAAAGAAAGAAAGAAAGAACCTAAGTCTCTTTAACATGCAATTTTACTTAGTTACATTGAACATTCTACTTAGAAGAGAGCATGCAAAAAAGGATGGTCTGCTTTAAGGTTCTTCTCTGAAGTTTACGTGGCAGCCTGACGTCACACACGCACGCACACACGATACGATACTAGAGCAGGTAAGTGAGGAAGGCCAATAAATTTTATACACAGATTCACGCCTTGTGTTGCCACAAGCCCCATGATAATTTTGGAAATTAATGTTGAACTCCTAAACGAGGAATCAACATTCAGATACCAGAACAATGCAAGCAATGCATGCAGATCTGAACTGTGAGCCTAAGGGAAGCAGGTGGCAGGCTCGGGAGGAGAGTCAGTCACCGTTCAGGGTGGTGGAAGCCACCAAAAGAAGAGTGGGAGAGGGATGGAAAAACAATAAAAAACAAACAAACTAACAAAACCCTTCCCCTTCCCTCAGCCTTCCGTAAAGGCAATACATGGAATAGTGATCAGAGTTGTCACCATCATCACGTTGCACCCTCTGGACCAGGAGTTCACGGGTAACCCAAGTAACGTGGGCTGCTTGCAGAAAACCACAACGCAAGACATCAGATAATGGCAGACAGATGCAGCCCTTGGGACATTTCAAAAGGAACTTTACTTTCCAGCCACCATGCCATGTTCTGCACTGTCAGTCCACGCAGAACACACTCGCCCACTTGTGCCCCAGATGTCAGTATGGGCTTTGGGAGTCAAGACTCAGCTCTGAGATTTACATGCAGGACGACACCTGGTCACATACACTAGAAGCACCGAAGACTAGGGTATATCACACTGCATTGGGAAGCTTGTCCCTGGGTCCCTTTGGGAAAACAATGAGCACAGGGTGATTGCAGCCAGGGACAGAACTGAGGTACTGTGTTCACATGGTGAGCAGTTGTGACCATCCAGAAGCATGAGACAGTCAGCCTCTGTGAAGACTAAATGGGTATCCAGTAACATGCTCCTTGAACTATGGAATGATTCTTGCATCAGAAGAGCCTCAACAAAGTAAGCAGACCTAAACTAGGCCAAGGCTCTGGTGTATGCTTGACAGAACCCAAAGCTGTCCAGCTACAAATAAGATTTCCAATCTCTACAAGAGACTGGTTTTACAAACCACTTTTCTCTCAGCTGACCGGCCACCAGGGTTCCTCTTAAACGAAGTGAGAGCAAGCAGATGTTTGGCTGGTCAACCAACCACATTTTCAGTTCCATCTCAGCTTCAAACAACCTTATAGGAACAAACCACGAATGCACTCAGTGGCCAAGAGCTGCCATTCACTCACAAGCTGGCTAGCATGACAGCCTTCCACAGTGACACATAATGTACATGCAAAGCCCAGGGTCACGGAGGGAGCAAACCCGCATGAACAGCACACCTGGAGCAAGAGCAGACACCGCCACAACAGGGTCAAGACAAGAAGCCGTACTTGCCCAACATTCACTGGGGAAGGAGCAGGTAGGGAAGGAGCAGGTAGGGAAGGGGCAGGTAGGGAAGGAGCAGGTAGGGAAGGAGCAGGTAGGGAAGGAGCAGGTAGGGAAGGGGAGAAGAGGCCTTCTGACCATAATCATACATCAACAATAATAGTAACAAAAATTAAAAAGCCCCAGAGAACTTAACAGAAGGCAACAATGCCATATTTAAAACTTACATTTCTAATACCAATGCACTGTTCCTGCAGGAATTTACACATATACAAACCACTGATGCATTGTTGCCTTTAAAATCCATGTACTAAAATCCTGATGGCTGGATGCATACCAACGTGCTATCCAAAAACACATCTACGTTATTCCATGTGAACCAAGAACCTGGGCTTTATTTTAAAAGTACTTATGATTAAGAATAAACAACAACAAAAAAACAACAAACAAACAAAAAAAACCCAAAACACAGAAAACAAAGCTTAGAATTGAAGGCAGCCTTTTACCCATATTTCTCAACAGTTTACTAAAATTCTGTGGGTCATTGACTGATTATGGCTAATATATACCTGGATTCATAGCTAAAAGCCTCCAGACTGAAATGGTACTCTGAATTCTGATCTTTGAAAAAAACCTAAATGTCCCTGTGTGCTTCCCGTGCCCAAATTTAATTTTAAACAAAGAGCAGGCATATTATAAATATGACTGACTTGGGTCAAGCACTCCTGTTGAACTGGAGAAAACATTATCACCCCCCACCCCACTCCACAAGGAAAGGAGTGCCAGTGGTGAGTGCCTGTGTGTGTGTATAATATATACATAGGCACACAGATGCAGATCTAGACAGGTAGCTATAGATACATAATCTTTCAAAAAAGGCAGTAACAAAAATAACAAACTATGCTTGCATTGTGGCAGCAGAATAAGACAGTGTGTCAAAGTGATGGGGAAAATGGTTACAACTTATCCAGATTTAAATGACTATGATACTAGCTTAACTTTTACCACCTTGCTTGTAACCCCCAACAGACAGCCTTCTTGTAAAAGGGAGGACCCCCTCACATAGGTGCTTTGAAGAGGGAGGACTACCCCCCACAGATGCTCCAAAGAGGGAGGACTCCCCTCCCAGATGCCTTGTGTTCGAATCAGTCTGCACTATTCAGAACAACACCAGCTCTGCTGGTGGAGATTGTGGGTTCGCAGGGACACCTAAGCTTTCATTAAACTGGAAAGCAATCAAGTCTTTATGTCTACAAATTATACATTTCATAGTTCCACAAATGTGGCAAAGTTTGTGATGACATCTAGGATGTTTTCACCAAATCGTAGACGTAAATATGGAAGTCATCATCAAACTTGATGAAATAGACAGAGGGTTTGGCCTCTACTTGGTGGATGACCATGCCAGTCCTTTTCGAGCCATCTTCTTTGGCATATTCCACTTGCTTGCCTACCAGGCTGTCCACAACTTCTCCTGGCTCTCTTTCTGCTGGAGGCGAATCATCTGTATTAACAGAAACAGAAAGAAAAGAAAAAAAATCAAGTCAGTATTTAGATCCACCACATTTCAGCAGCAAAAGCTTTAAGCTATCCCGAGTTCATCATGATGTAGTCAACACTCGCTGTAAAGGCCATTCTGTAAATATTTCAGGCACATGGTCAATGTCCCAGTCAGTCATCTATGAGAATGCAGCACCAAAATGGCTAAGGGCAGCCCAGAAGTTAACAGCCGGGATATACTCCAGCAAACTCATGTGGTTTGCAGAACCTCATCCAGACAGATGTATGACTGACTTAAAAATCATAACCCAAACTCCTTGGGATGGCATTAAATTACAACTGCAATTATCTAAAATTAAGTTTAAATGGCTTTCAAATACTTTCCTACAGGGCTTCCTGAGACCATGGTGCTCATTTGAAATGCTGAGGCATCACTGGGAGTTTATCTATGAGTCTGAAAGCCCCTGCTCCTCAATGTCAATGCATTCCAACCTCTTCTACCCAGTTTCAAAACAGGAGAAAGAAAGAAATTCTCCATGTTTTACAAGTAAGCACTATATGAACTGGATCCACTCAGGCCAGGAAAACAGAAAAACAGATCCCGGCAGGCTGGTATCTGGTACCATCCATCCACAAGCGCCTCAGGTTGCAGTTACCTCTGGGAATACACGAATGACAACAAGCCACCACTAACCAAAACAAAAGTGAGGTGAGGACACAAAGCAGTCACAAAACTATTTTAAAGCACTCCTTAGAGGTTCAGAAAAACACCAAGCTTTTAGAGGAGCAGATGGGCTTCAGACTGGCCAGATGTCTCAGGTGTACAAACAGCCTCCACGCCTTGACATAGCTGGAACACAGGAAGGGAGGGGTCTAGTAGCACAGCTTTCTAGTGTGGCTCATGTAACAGGTCTACGCTTACATCTTTACCTCCAACTACAGCAAGCTTCTGACTGATTGACACTCTGTGACCCACTACAGTCGTCTCTGGAACAAACACACAATATAAACTGAATCCCTGCACATGTTCTTTTAAACCAGAAAGTGAAAAAAAGAAGTTCTTTTTCCTCAAAAATTCTCTTCCCTCAGGCAGCACTGCCCTATTACCACACACTTCCACAGAAACTTTCGAGCTAATGAAGGAATTCCCAACACATGATGCCAACCAATGTGACAGAAGCTCTGAGAGTCTAAGCGTCCATCGAGACTTACTTAGCCAGCAAAGGAACTGGTCAAACTCAGTGGTGGGGCTGCTTCAGAACTTACAATGCCAGCACTATTCTAATGGGAGACAAACTTCCACACAACTGACAGGAAATTAAGAAGCTTGCAAAAGCATGAGAAGACCAAGAAGTGGCTGGAAAAGTTGCAGCGCTGTGTGAAGGACTAGCACATGCATTCTCAGCTCAACAGCACTTGCTCTGATGGACCTTTCCTATAGCTGGGGAATGCTCTTAAAGAACACTCTCCTGAACACAAATCCTAGAGTACACCAACAATTTTCTTTGTAAAAATGAACACACAAGTCAATAAAAAAGTAGTCATTCCAGGCCAAATAAGCTTATCAGTAAGTTCCTTAACTGGCTTCTTCATAGGAAGAACTTTTAAAAAAGAAATAGAAATGACCGTCACACCACAACAGTATTTGCTAGCCACAATGTCTCAGGCCAAGGATCCATGTGTCTGAGGAAACAGTCCTTTTAGAACAGGTTTAGGCTGATGTGGAAGTTTATCCTTACAGTTCTAGCTCTCAGGAGGCTGGGATAGGGAATGTTGAGTTTGAGGTCTTGGTTAAATAGCAAGACACTATTGTAAAACAAAACAAAAACTAATTATTAAATGAACAGGCTTATCTAAAAATCACATTAAGGAAACAATTCCTTTTGTTTGAAATGCATCACAGAGCTCCAAGTTTTAAAAACATCCTTACTCACAGACTGGAAGACTTGCTACTCTTTGCCAACATGAGAGGGCAGTATACTCTGCAGACAACACCACTGCCAACTCTGAATCCCAACAAACTTCTTGGAAATCAGCAAATTGATTTTAATATTCATATGCAATTGCAAGACAGTCAAGACAGTCCTGAGACGCCCAAGACGAGGTCTTGCAATACTTAATACTGTTTCAATACTTAACTACAGAGCAATGAATGCCATGAAGACAGGGTGGGAGCTGCAATGACAGACACAGAAACAGGAGAACAGAACTGGGGTCCAAACACATCCACACAGCCACCCAACTGATTTTCTACAAGGTGCCAAGCTATTCTCTGGAGGAAAGAATAGTCTTTTCAACAAATGGTGCTTAGTCCCAGAGGAGCTACATGAAAAAGAACGAGCTGACCTATTATATCCTCTCTTCACACTATACCACATGTTAACAACAACAACAATAATAATAAACCCAATTATAAGACTTGCAATTCTTAAGACACCAAAAGCATAAGTAATAAAAGAAACAGATTAACTTGGGTATCAAAGGTCAATCAAAGAAGTGAAAAGACAGGTGAGATGGCAGTGCACACTTGTAGTCCCAGCACTCCAGGGACAATGCAGATGATGGCGAGTTTGAAGCCTGATAGACTGTATAGTAAACTGCAGGCCAGCCTAAACAACATAGCAAGACTCTGTTGCAACTCCCAGCACAGTGCCAAGTGAAAAGACAGCCCACAGAAGAACACCACTAAGTCTGATTTCTAACAAAAGACTAGTATCTAGAATGCTGACTCTAAACAATCATTTCACCAGAGATACACAAATGGCCAGTAAACACACGAAAAGATCCCCAAGACACCATTAGTCACCAAGGAAACAAAGCAAACCACAAGGGAAATTGCTCCATCCTCACTAAAAGAACTATTAGAATGAATTCTAAAACCAAGAGAGTGCTGGTGAGGACATGAAAGCAGACCCTCACCAACTGCTGAAGGCAACATCAAGAGGTACAGCAGAACAATGAGACCTAGCAATTCCACTTCAAGTTACACACCAAGGAAAAATGAAAACACAAACACCCAGAGTCTCAGATACACATATTTATAAAGCATCAATATCCATAGTAACTAAAACATAGTAACAACCCAAGTATGAATCAACAGCTAAACAAATGAATTATGGTGTGTGTGTGTGTGTAATAAATTATACATGAACACTATTCATGAAGAATAAATCCTAAAATTTGTTTCAACATGAGGAAACCCTGGAATCATGTGAAGCAACAAACTAGTCACAAAAGTTCCCATAAAAATCCATTCACATGGAAGTCCACAACAGGAAATAAAATGACTAGCTGCTTAGGGCTGTAAGTAAAGGATCAGGAGATCAGAAATAAAAAAGCTGGGCATAGTGAAAGCCTGGAGATCAGGAATTCAAGGTTACCTTCAACTCAGTAGAAAAATCAAGATGTACCTCTCAAAAAGTAGGGGTGGGTGAGAGGTGGTAAGCAGCATGGGCCTTTCTGATGTAGCAGTTCTCTGAAGCTAATGACTCAATGAGCACACCTACCTGTGAACACACTAACAGCACTGGGTTGATTTAAAATGACAGCAAAATGAAAACTGCTGTTTAAAGCAAAACCTGTCTGGGCAGAGGGGTGCACTCCTGTTAATCCCAGAACTCTGGAGTATTATCTAGACCAATTAAGAGCTCCATTTACAAATGGCGCCCAATGTGAGACAAGAATTTCCATGTAAAACATAGTCACAGTGGGATTCCTAGTCTCACAGTCTCATGCAGGTCTTTCAAAGTTCCTGCTTCATCAAAAAGTCTACCAGACATTCTTGGCATATAGGCTGAAGAGGGATGCCCTAATGTTACATAGGAGCTTTGGGTGACTGTCTAGGCAGTGAGATGTCTCTGTCAATTCTAGAGTTTATACATTTTCCTTCTGGGGTCTTTGATGGAACTGAAGGCAGATAGTTATGATTTTCCTTAGTTATGAAAAGCTAAGTTGTACATAAAACTTGTAGACTCACAAAAATAGGATAGATAATAGAATATTTTCTTTAAATTTTGCCAAATGTTAATGGACTAAATACTGTAATTATAATTCTCATTTGATAACTGTTTTGTTATATATAATTTTCCTATGTTAAAGTTAAATCCTCCTTTTTTTAGGCAGAAAAGAGGAGATGATGGGGAATGTCCTATATGCTGTGAATATATGTTTCTCTTACTGGTTGGTGAATGAATGCTGATTGGCCAGTAGCCAGGTAGGAAGTATAGGCAGGGCTACGAGACTAGAAATGCTGGGAAGAGGAAAACAGAGAGGAGCCACCAGGGAGATGCCATGTAGTCACCCAAGGAGTAACATGTCAGAGCATTACTGGTAAGCCACAGTCTCATGGCAATACATAGTTTAATAGATATGGGTTAATAGTTAAGAGAGAGCTAGCCAATAAGAAGTCCGAGTCATGAGCCAAACAGTTTATAATTAATATAAGCCTCTATGTATTTGGGGCAAAACAGCTGTGGGACCAGGCTGGAAAGAAACTCTATCTACACTGGAGCCTGAGGCAGGAGGATTAAGTTCAAGGCCAGTGTGTGTTATAAAGTAAGTTAGGTCAACCTCTGCTACATGAGACTTTCTCAAAGAACAAAAACTAGGTTCATAAAACCAGTTCGCCCACTGCCGACAGCACCAGCATCTTCACTCGCTAGTCTAGCTGCTACTCAAAGTTCTCTCCCCGGTTCAGTTCTGCTTTGCGTTTGAGGTGCTAGAGATACAACTCAGGGCCTCAATTCATGCTTGGCAAGGCCCTCTCTAGCACTGAATTGTATCTCAAACCTCCAATTAAGTTATCTGAAACCAGTAGTCTCTGAAGTCCACTACTCACACATTAAATGATCACTGTAGATGGCAAGCTTCAAAATAAATCAGGACAGAGTAGGCAAAACCAGACCAGCAATGAGAAAACAGCTGCTAAAAAACGATGGACTAGATTTACTTTATTCCCTACATGGTCACATGCTTTCCACTAATAAAAAATTCCAGCCTTTCTCCTCTTGGGCTGGCTGAAAGCAAGATGGGTCACCAGCAGCTCTACTGGAGTCACCCGCGGAAATTCGCCCAGGGCTCCCGCTCTTGCCTAGTCTACTCTAACCGCCACGGCCTGATCCGGAAATATGGGCTGAACATGTGCCGTCAGCTTCCGTCAGTACGCTAAGGACATAGGCTTCATTAAGTTGGACTAAGCAACCTTGAATGGATTATTCAAGACTGTCTACCCAGTGAAACAGATCATGCTAGTCTTTGTACATAAAGAACAAAAAAGTGAAGACCTTCAAAAAAATTACATTGTACTATTTCTAAAAATTTAAAATAACCTCTCTAAGTGATCTAACATTTTATCATCTAAAATTCACAAGGAAAAGTTTGTTTGTATACACAAAAACCCTAAAACACATCTGAAAACCCATTACTCAAATACTTTTGTCAAAATACTAATTCCTTTCAAATCACCAAAACCAAAAGCTGCTGATGTGCCACACTTACTGGAATCGGGCATGATGCGGAGGTCGCCTTCTTTGTAATCATCTAGGAGCTGGTACATGTACAAGACAGGGTCTTTCTCATAGGTGATGTAAAACCACGTGTTCATGACAGGTGCCCGTGCCAAGACCATCCCCCTCCACTCATCTTTAGAGCCATCCTCTGTTTCAAACATGTGCTCCACTGCTTTGCCAATCATTGTGTCCGCTAAGTGTGCATCGCTGATCCGAGATGTGGCTGGAATTAAAAGAGTAAAATACTCGAGCAAATGTTAACTAACAGACAGGAGCTTTGACCATGTAATACATTAGTGAACATGAGAGTGGCCAGGGAATCTAAGACGAATAACTACCACACCAAATGCCAGGACTGGCACAGAGGTGGGACTAAACACAAAGAAATCTGGCCCTTATTTTCTGAACTTAGTTACTCAGTATTACATCTAAACCACAGGTCTTAAGTGGTTTTGTTATTGCTTCTTTAGCAGTTATTTTAAAGCTATGAGTTAGCATCTGACTCACAAACAGACAAGAAAAAGTTTCCACACACAGCACATAGTGCTAGCCCCTTCCTATTAATAATTGATAAGAGTCCTCTGAACTCTCACTGAGTCCAACTACCCTCACATAAATAATACAAAGAAAGTAACCTTAACACATGTTTTGTTATTGTTTTAAAAGAACTGGAAGTTCACGTCTCATCACTTTATTTTCATGTTCTGAGAACAGTTATTCACTCTTACGCCTACAGTCTATTTTCTATAGCCACCAGAGTGATCATGGTGCTATCTACAGAAAACTGTCACTTAAAATGTTCCCAGCTTGTCACCATCCTTAAGCCCCTCAAATCCCTCCTTTCTTCGAAGCATGCCCCATCTGCCCAGTCAAACTTCCTCCCCTCTTCAGGGGACTGGCTATTTCCACAACACAGTCCCTAGAGCTCACCAGGACAATAGCCCCGCCAACCTCCTCATGTGCTGTTCAGTTCACAGATAACAGTCCTTGTTACCTAAAGTTGTCTTACTTTATGGATTTGCTGATCTGGTAGGTGTCTGGATAGTTCCATGAAGCAGAGGCCCTCTCCCTGTTACTAGCACTCAGAGCAGTTTCAGGTGTCTATGTAGTGTCATGAGAGAGCCTATTTGCATACAAAACAGGCGAAGAGTTGCCAGCCTTTCTGTGTGTTGTGTTCACTACTAGACAGGTTATGAGGGTGTGTGTCACTCCAGCCCTCACATTCTAGGTAAACATCTTTTAGAATAACCATATCTCCTTTCTAATCACTCATTCAGTTTCTATATTAAAATCAAGGAAAAGAAATTCAGATTTTCTAGGCAAGTATATTGCTACTCAATTTAATTAGGACATACAACTTGTTTGTGGTGTTACATATGCAACGAAGCAGTCAGAAACAGAGCAAAATCTCTACTGCAGGACATTTAAAACATACAGGAGCATATACACATTAATAGCTTCTTCAAGCTAGCAATTGCTAATTTGTAGTAAATTTATTACAAGTAAAAAAAATTCACATTTTTGCAAACCTTAATTTCTAGTTAAAATGTTCTTAAAAGGTGTGTGCATATGAGTACAAGTATATTGGGTGTATGAAGAGACCAGAGAAGGGTGCCACATCCCTTGGGGTTGTTGTGACAGGCATTTGCTGGATGCCTGTGCTGTTCAGTGGTGTGGTCTTCTTGAAGTCTCAGCAAGCATTCTTAAATACTAAAGCTATCTCTCTACAGTTTCTTTAATGTGTAATTTTGAAAAACAACTTCATTCAAGCTTCATTCCAGTTATGTGAGATCCAGCCTCACGGTGATATGGTATTAATAGAGAATTTTGAGTTTAAAGTCTACAAATAGCAGCTCCCTAATGGTCAGTTGCAACATAGTCTGAAACAATCACCATTAACCTCTTCAAACTGTTAGTTACACTACAACAATTCAAAAACTGACACAACAAAACTCTTCTGATTAAAAAAATGAAACTTGAAGGAACATGTCTCCAAAGATGATATACCAAGGGCCACAGGCATGCAGGGACCACAGTCTTGTTAACTTACACCTTGTTATCCTTACACCTAGAAATGGCTACTTTCAAAACAGAAATCACTAAGTAATGCCAGCAGAGCTGGAGAGCTGAAGCCCTGTGCACTGTTGCTGGGGCTATAGGACCTCAACAAAATAGGGGGTTCTGTGGCAGTTCCCTTTTAAAAACAGGAATTAGAAGATGCCCCTTCTGGGGGAATCACCCAGAAGAACAGGAAGGTTTCAGAGAAGTCACAGACAGCCACTCCCACAGTGGCTTCCATCTCTAGCACTGCTATAATTAAAATTCAATGTACACATTGAAGTGGGCTAGAAGACTCTTTTCCTACCCAGAACAAAAAATGCAAGTAACTTTCTTGATTCTACTCTCATAGTGAGCACTAAAGAGTTAAGAGTCTAGCCAAGTATAGTTGTTCATACCTATAATTCTACCCCCCCCACCTCCAGAGCCTGAGGCAGGAGGATGGCAGTGAGCGTGAGACCAGTCAAAATAAAGAGCACTGAACTACTTACTAACCACAGCAGACACACAATATCTTACTGACTTCCACTGTTCAAAGTGCATTCGCTCACAACTATAATTGGTGAACTAGACAACCCCAAACCACAAAGAACACCCCCCACCCGCCTAGATGACACACAGCCAGGGTGCTCACAAGGTCTGCTCCTGGCCCATGAATATTCAAGTGAGAAGCCTTGTCCTGGAAAGCAGACACAGAGGGAAACCCTGGGTCAGAAGATGCATCCCAGCATGTAACAAGTGAAGCGTGCAGTCACAGCTCTCTAAGATGACAGAAAGACGCTTAACACCACAGCTTTCTACTTCCAAACCTCCTGAAGATCGGACAGAGCTCTCATCCTGGATGATTCCACTGCAGCTCCACGTTTACCATTAGTAACACACAACACGCCATGTCACGTCATTGAGCCAATGCCAATCACAGACAGCAATAAGCAACTCAAGACCGGAAACCTCTAGGTCAAAGATCTACATTTATAAATGTCATGAGGCCCTCAACTGTAGTTTCAGAACATCTTCCCTGGTCAGTTTTTGTGTCAGTAAGCGGTAAATGTTTATCAGAGGTACTTGAGGTCTGATATAACAACACTAATAATGAGAATCAAAAAGCATTCAATCATCACTTTTTAAAATAATAGGTTTTAAAGAATAAGTTTAAAAACTTACCAACTCTATCAGGGAGGACTTCAAGTGCAGAAACTCTTTCATCTTTATTAAGTTCTAGTCCATAAACACAGTCAAATCCATCATACTTTATAAGATACAGGGAAGGATTCACAGGCACCTGGTCCAGGACAGTCCCCTTCCACTGGGTGACAGGGCCGTTGCCCTCTCTCCACCCATGCTGAATCCTGCAGCCTACGATGTTCCTCCGGGGCTGGGACACAGGCTTGCTTGGTCCCACACTGGTCCGATGTTTTCTGTATTCACACATACAATGTATTATTCTCACAAGTATGCATATCTGCACCTAATGCAGCCACTAGCTTGCATGTTCTTCATTACCCAGGGCTCAAAGGCATGGGCAAACACCTACTGATGAGCCAGAATGACCGCAAGTTTTAGGCCAGCCTGGGTTGCAGAATAAAATCTGCTTTAAAAGCAAAGAGCTGGCTGGGGGTTGGTGGCACACGCCTTTAGTCCCAGCACTTGGGAGGCAGAGACAGGCGGATCTCTGTGAGTTGGAGAACAGCCTGGTCTACAAGAGCTAGTTCCAGGACAGCCTCCAAAGGAACAGAGAAACTCTGTCTCGAAAACCAAAAACAAACATAAAAATCAAAGAGCAAAAGAGATGCCTTAGTAGGTTAAGAGCATCTGCTAGTCTTGTAGATGACCCAAGTTTGGTTTCCACCATCCATGTGATATTTTGTAACTGCCTGAACTCAGTCCCAATGCCCTCTTCTGGCCTCCTCAGGCATCAGGTACACATGTAATATACATACATACATGACAGAGGCACTCACAAACACAAAATTAAAATAAAACATAAAGCCCCATAACTTAACATTTTACTCTTTATTCCCTGGTAACCTTGAAATAAACTAACCTTAACTGAGGTGAACTGTGTGTGCCTGCAATAGAATTTCCTCAGAAGCACAATTTTCTCACACATTTGACTAACTCACAAGCATATAGTTTGACAAATAGCAATATAAAAAATATTGTAACATCAAATGTCAAATTAGTGATTTAAACATTTACATAAAATGCTAATTGCTGGCTATCTATGTGTGCATACACATGCATATTTAAAACTATGTGTCCATGTTGAGGCTGGAAGTTACTGTCAAGTGTCTGCCTCTACTGCTCTCTAACCCTTATTTTCCAAAACAGCATCTCTCATTGAATCCAGAACTTGCCATTTAGGCTAGACTGGCTGGCCAAAGAGTTCCCAGAATCTACCTATCTCTTTCCTGCCCCCAAACTACTGGACTTACAGACACATCCCCCATCCGGGGACCCAAACTTAGCTCCTCATGCTTACTCAGAAAGCACTTTACACATTCAGGGCCCATCCTGGTTCCTGAAATGGGGGATGGGAAAGGTCATTTCACTTTGAAATACAAAGACAAAGGATAAAACTTGGCTTGGATGCAACCTGGGCCAAACCAACTTGACGGTTACTGTGTGCCAAGAGCAACGCAGGGCTAGGTATACATGGCATTTCATAATGTCTTAAAAATGATTAAAGCTACAATAGCTAAGGCTATAATTTTATATAAATACAAAGACATTTATTGTTTACTTGCACTTAGCCTTGCTAGAGGTCCTAGAAACAATGGTCTCTTGCAAACATGAGGAAGGATGCCAGAGCCAGGAAGCACTAAGCTCTGAGAGAGAGGGGGGGGGTGGTGCAGAGCTGAGACAAAGCAGTGGACTAGGAAAGGGAGCAAGGCTAAGTGCAGAATCTCTAAGCCAGACCCCCCCACACTCTCCCCACCCATCTTCAGCCCTCAGAACCTCCTGAGGGAGAGCCACATCTCCAGACCACTTGCATACAAAAGCCTAACTAAGCAGGCATAACTAGACCCAGGAAATAAAGCCCAGAGGCAAACAGGAAGACAGCAGACACAACACAGGTGGCTAAAGGAGTCTTGTTTTAAATATGGCACAGAAGCAAAGCTAAGGAAGCCTGGGAACTCTGAGGTCACCTCCTCTCCAGCCCTGGAAACCTGCTGGACAATATACAAAAGTAGCTTAAAGAGAAACGAAACAAATGCTCTTGATTGAGTTTTGATAGGCAGTAGAGGCTGGCCAGGAAAATATATCCACGTAGTAGATGAAACTATTACTGGCACTAAGCAAATAGCAAAAGCTAGGTAAGAGAGACTGTTCAGTTGACTGTGCTGAGGGGGGCCCAGATTAAGTGCTTGTTTCTGGGTGTTGTCTGAGAATGTTCTGGAAAGAGATCAGTATTTGAACTGCTGGGCTGAAGAAAAAGGGTGTGTCCTCAGTAATGCAAACAGGCTTCACTCAATCTGCTGGGGGCCTGAACACAACAGAAGGCAGGAGGAGGACGCCATCTTTTTATTCCTGCCTGTGGTCCCAAGCAGGAACATGGTTTTCTCCAGCTCCTGGACTAGATCGTTCACCAGTGGCTCCTGGTTCTCTGACTTTGCATTAGAACTGTACCAGCCACTCCCCAGGTCTCCAGCTCACAGACTGCAAGTTGAGTGGACTTTCTCTACTTAATATGCAGGACTCAACGTCTGAGACTCACAGAACAGAAAACCTAAGAGAATCAGCTCTCTCCTTCCACCAAGCAGGTCCTGGGGACAGAACTCAAATCACCAGGTTTAGCAACAAGTGCCATCTCACCAATTCTTTTCAGTTTTTGGAGGCAGGGTCCCACTATTCAATAGCCCAGGCTGGCCTTGAACTCACAGTGATCCTTGTGCTGGAAGTACAGGTGTGCAGTACAATGTTGTAGTCGCTGGAAAGAGAACGGCCCCATACACTCTTATATTTGAATGTCTAGCTCCCAGTGGATCACTTAGGAAGGATTAGGAGGTGCAGCCTGGTTGGAGGAGAGGTGCCACTAGGGGTGAGCTTTGAGGTCTCAAAAGCCCATGCCAAGTCTCACTGCTCTCTGTCTTAAGCATATGGGTAAGATGTCAGCTCTCAGCCTGCCACTGCTCTATCCAGCATGCTTGCCTACCTGCCGCAACACTGCCCACCGTGATAACCATGGACCACCTCTCTGAAACTGCAAGCAAGCCCTCAAATAAATGCTTTCGTTTTTATGTTGTCTTTGCAATGGCGTCTCTTCACAGAAAGAGAACAATAACTAAGACATATGCTCAGTTCAGGGTACCATTTTTTACCTATTTAGGGAACCAGTAAGGCACCACCTGCCAAAGCCTCATGCAGAACAATAATACCTCAGGGAGTGCACCTCTAAGGCATTACTGAAGGAAAGGGTCCAGCAATACATCTTACAGACCAAGTAATTCAGGTCTACCACTGCACTGAAGTAACTACACAGCTATTAAACTACAGGAAAAGAGGGCTGGGATGGACCTCATTGGTGGAGGACTTACTGAGTACCCCCAAGCCACAGGTCTGATCACCAACCCCATGAAGAGAAGGAAATATAAAGTTATAAATAATAATTTAAAGATGGTTTTTCACTATTTGCTTGAAATATCTTTTTTCTTTTATTAATTTAAAGATGTTTTAAAAACACAAATGTAAGCCAGGTGTTACTGGCAACCCCAGGGTCTCTCTAAAGAGGGTGGAGATGTGTGCAGGCCTTGTACTACACTGTTCAAGAAATCCTATGCATCTCTGCTTTGTCAGCTGCATAATGAGCCCCAGACAAAGCAGCAACAAGAAGGGATCTAAGAGGGTGTAATGTACTGTCCCAAGAACTGAGCACAACTTAGCCATCAGCTTTGTTCAAAAGCAAACGGTGGAAAAGAGGCTATTAATTTGAGATGGGGCTGAAGGGGGGTTGAATGGAGAGGATATGGAAGGGGCTGGAAGAAAAGGAAAAGGGGGAAGTGATGTAACCATATTTTAATTACAACTACACTGTATAAAATCCTCAAAAATGTTGTTTTAAAAAGGGAAAGACAGTCAGGCAGTGGTGGTGCACACCTTTAATCCCAGCATTTGGGAGGCGGAAGCAGGTGGGTCTCTGAGTTGGAGACCAGTCTGGTCTACAGAGTGAGTACAGCCACAGCTGTTACACAAACAAACAAATCAAAAAAAAAAAAAAAAAAAAAAGAGAGAGAGAGAGAAAAGAAAAAAGGGGGAAGTGAGGTTGGAGAAGATGGAGCTCTGGGAGAGGTGAATACGATCAAAATACACTGTACAGAATTCTCAAGGAATTAATAACTAAAAAAAAAATACTGGGACAACAAGCTAACACTGGGATTTTCAGCTCTACATCCGCTCCAGAATTCAGTGAAATGAGATGACTCAGTGGGTAAGGAGCCTTCTAAACAAGGAGAAGGTGAGAAGTAGGGCTGTGATCCCCAGCACTCACATCCTGGAGCAAGCTGCTGAGACTAACTGAACTGGCAAGTTCTGGGTCCAAGAGAAGAACTCTCTCGATATATAACATAAAATACCTGATGTCAACTGCTGGCCTCTACATGTACACTAGTGCACACATGCACACAGAATGCTAAAGGACTGATCCAAGAAATATTTGCTCTTACGATTAAAGAAAACTCATTTCTCTCAATATTGGAATCAAGTAGAAGAGAAACAAGGACGCTTTCTATTAAGCTCTTAAGGGAGAAACTTTTGGGGCAAGAGTGTCTTTCAAGTGAGAGTGTAATGACATAAAGGGGAAGGAAATAATGGAGCAGGTAGGATTAAATAGGATAGGGGATGGGAGGGCAAGATAAAGAGCATGGGAAGGGACGATTAATATTAAAGGCCTTTAAAAAACATGTATCTTAGGTGTCTGTGTGTGTGCCTGAACCCCCGGGATCAGAAGAGGTAATCAGACTCCCCAGGAACTGCAGTTAGAAGCAGTTGGTCCTAAGCTGCCATGTGATGCTGGGAGCTAACCCCCGTTTTCCTGCAAGAGCATTTAGTGCTCTTAATTGCTGAGCCATCTTTCCAGCCCCCAAACCAAAACAACAAAGACAAACAACAACAACAACAAAATACAGCTAAGAATAACTAACCCAGCAGGTGAAAGACCTCTCTCTACAGTGGAAGCTTTGCAGGAAGAGGTTCACGAACTGGATTCACGAACTGACAAGAATCACACTGTGAAAACAAAAGCTGCCCACAGACTCTGCACTCCCCATCAAAATCCCAGTGACATTCCTTACAAAACGAGGAAAAGCAATCCCAACACTAGACAGAGCAACACCACCTAAACAGATAGTGAAGGGTCCCATGCTACACTCTCACACGAGGCTGCCAGATTTTAAGTTTTACATCTCTGAGGGAGGACAGCTAATGCTAGAAAGTAGACAGTGAGAGGGGCAAAAAAGATTCTGAGAGCAGACTGGGGACAAGAAAAAAAAGATGTGTATATATGCATAAAAGCTACAGGAGGTGTCTGAGGGAACGGGTTCAGGAAGGGAGGACAAGCAACAAAATGAAGTATGTACGAAAAGCCCACAATGAAACCCATTACTATCTCTAAAAGGAACACACAAAGAAAGAAGTGCAATTCTGGTAGCCAATATTTAATACACCATGTGTTTGTTCAATAAGCCTGTCAGTTATCGAAGTCCACCACTAGTCAGTCAGGCATACACAGAACTTGGCTGCAAGGGTTAATTACTAGTGATTCTTTATAGTACCGTTGGTACTGTTATGTCAAAGCAATTTTTTTTCCTTTGGGTTCTACAAAATTTAGAAGAAAATCGTTAATTAAAAATCTTGGTCTTTTTGCAAGATACAAATTAACAATTAGAAACTAGCTTCGCTGGCAGTTGTAATTTTACAAAACTTCTAGGTGACAGTGTTATTTCCTAGTGTAAATGACAACACAAAAACAAGATGAAATAGAACAGTATCTTCATGAAAGTCACCATCAGTTCACCTACACACTGTGGAAGCATCACCGTACATTAAGTGTTACATGTTCTAACCGACTTATGACCACTACATTAACACTGTGGTCCTCTTACATGCCTGTCCAGCCTGAGTAATTATGGCTCAAATAACTCCTTTTCTTTTCTTTCTTTTTTCTTTTCCTTTTTTTTTGGTTTTTCGAGACAGGGTTTCTCTGTATTGTTTTTTTTTAGAGACTGTCCTGGAGCTCGCTCTGTAGATCAGACTGGCCTCGAACTCACCGAGATCCTCCTGCCTCTGCCTCCTGAGTGCTGGGATTAAAGGCGTGCACCACCAATGCCCGGCCAAATAACCCATTTTCAAGATGAGACAAGAAAGCATGAATTCAGTGGATGTGGTGTGTTAGTTAACCCACTTCTAGACCTAGCTAAATTATTGATTAGTTGTCAAGCTCAGACAAGGTTCTTAATCTCTCTGGACATCAGCTTTCATATCTGTAATAAGAGTTCATGGGTGCAGCTTGACATGGGAACCATGAAAATGACGTGAGATCACACCAGAGATCAACAAGGAGGGGCAGTAAGTGGTACTCTTCATTAGTGACTGTGCCTATGGATTTGCAGTCTACATTCCTGTAGATGATCTGCATATGCACGTGCATGAGTGTGTGAGGTGACTGACGGGGAACCCTAGGCTCCACCCATCTCAGCACTCCCAACGTCACCCAGCACTGGGTACAGATGTGCACTACGGCTACTGACTTTTTACAGGGGTGCTGAAGTTAAACTCGGGTCCTATGCTTGCTGGAAAACTTTACAGTCCGTCAATCCCTAGCACTTACTCTTTAAAAGCAAACTGGGGGACTGGGAGTGGCGGCGCACTCCTTTAATCCCAGCACTTGGGAGGCAGAGGCAGAAGGAGCTCTCTGAATTAGGCCAGCCTGGTCTACATGAGCTCCAGGCTAGCTAGCGATGCATACAGGTGGGCCTTTGAAAAAACAAACAAAACAACAGAAAGTCCAAGCAAATTAGTAAAACACATAACACTCTGATTTTCAAGACAGGACCTTGAAATGGAGACCTTCCCCCATTCAGATGGAGGAGAGGAGAATAACAGAACATCTAAAAATAAAAACAACAAACCACTTTCCCAACTGTATCTTCACGCAAGACATATTTTAATGTAAAACAGCATCCCAAACAACTTCAAGGAACAAAACCCAAAAAGGTGTGTCTTGATGCCAGCCTCTCAAGCCCAGCATGTACTAAGCAAGATGGTTTCCACTAAAAATAAAATTAACAACAAAGCCACAGCCCTTGCCTAGCCTGTCAAGGCTCTGGGTCAGACCCCCAACAAGGACAGTGATCAAAACAAAGACATGCCATTTCCTCTGTGGCAGCGATAGCTCCTGACTCCTCCTAGCACCTTGTAGGGACAGGTGCATGCTGACTGCTGCTGCCCTGACTTTAGCTCAGCATCTGTTAAGGCTCACCTCGAGCCTCCCCACTACTGTGGGTAACAACAGGATAGGCACCATTGGGATGGGAGGATGAGAGCTGAGCTTCTGTTTTCTATTTGGTTTTTATTAAAAAAGAAAAAATCTGTGGTAGAATGAAACCTATGTTGAAAAGCTGAAAACTCACTGATCTGGCCCAACACTGGATTTCAGAACACAAAGGAATCTGCAAAGCTCCCTGCCCCTGCTCACTCCATTCAAGACTATTCAAGCCATGTACAGCCATCACCCAACAAGGGAACTTTGGATTTGTTTTTCCGAAGCCCCCTGTCCACCTTCAAATTTGTAGTGAAAACTTTCATTTCACCTTCTGGGGCACAGCAATGTACACAAAGGATTCTGATCTTAAACAAGCTTGCAAAAGCAACAGATGGAGTTCCCCACAATGTGGAGCAAAGAGCATGAGCTCTTTTTATTGGTATGCCTATGAACCCTGAACTGCTGGGGATTTTTTAAATCTATTTTCTGACAATTTCATACATGCCTTCCATATATCTCGATCAATTGTACTGATAGTTTTAAGTAGTTGGTGTTTATTTCTTGTTACTGAAGGGGTCAAACCCACAAGACAATGAATGCTCACCATTACTCAGGAAAGGGAACAAGAAATCCCTTGAGCAAAATGCATGCATAACACAACTACCGGATCAAAAGTATGTAGTTGAACTTCCCTTTGAGCTGGCAGCTCACAAACAATGACTTATTATTAATTATGAAAGCTGGGCCTTTAGCAAAGGCTTGTCTCAACTAGCTCTTATAACATAAATCAATTCATTTATATTAATCTATACTCTGCTACATGGCTTTGCCTGTATTTCATCTTGCACCTCCTGTTTCCTCTCACTCTGCCTGGCAATTCCACTCTTCTCCCAGTGTCCTCTCTGTCCCCAGGAGACCTGCTGCCTAACCTCTTTCTAGTTATTGGCCATTCAGCTCTTTACTAAGCCAATCACAACAACATATCTTCACACAGTATACAAACATCCCACAACAAACTAACTTTTTTAAGCAAATGAAATTTTAAACAATGGTAAAGATTTAAAAATAGGTTTTTGTTGGTGTTGTTTGGTTCTGTTTGAGACAGAGTTTCTCTGTGTAGCAGCTCTATTAGGCTGGCCTTGAACTCACAGAGATCTGCCTGCCTCTGCTTCCCTAGCGCTGGGATCAAAGGTGTGTGCTACCACCACCCCGCAAAAATAGGTTTTTAAAAGGGTGTGGGGTGCTAAAAGACTACACCCTAATATTCTTACTTCTTTTAGGTGGCAAATCTATTCTGAATGAGCTGCTTTGGCATTACGAAGGAGGTATTTCACTTGTCCCCTACCCACTGGCTAGTATTTGTGGTTTGTATTTCTACCTTACTGTTACCCTCTAATTGGGGCAAGAGACAGCTTATACTTATGCCGCACTAATGAATAGAGACAACACATAAATGACCACATAACTGGATATAGCAAAAAGAGGAAGATGATGAGACAAGGTAAGGTTTATTCTGTTCTCAGGGAACAGCACACTCACCTAACTTTCAAAATCTTGTTTTCTAGGTCATTTTTTAAATTGAGTATTATATTTACATTAGGTACGCATCTGAATGAGAGGTAAGTGTGGTTCAACCATCAGCCATTACTGAAATAACTTCTGTTTTACCTTCCATGAGCAAGAGACCTCCTACTGTCTTTAGCTCCACTGAGGCAATGAAGGGACTCAAGTCCCTCTGTGAACCCCTTGGGAAGAACCGCTGCAGGCTGCTTACACAGCGGCAGGAGGAGGAGGAGGGTCTCATCGGTAACTTACATCCCTACATTCTAAGTCATCATTAGAATGATATACCCATGACACAGCAGTCACCACAGCATGGCAACTACAGGACTAGAATATGTGTCACTTTAAATACATGACTACTACCAGGCCTGGTGAGTCAGGAGAATTACAAGTTTTAGGCCTGCTCAGATAATACAGCGAGACGATTTTTTTAAGACAAAAACCAGCTGTCTAATTTTAAATTAGACTTCCTATATATTACAGGTACAAAGATGAGCCTGGTGGCTGACTAGGTGGACCCTAGCAACAGATATCTCTATTCAGCTCCTTGACTAACAGCAGATCAAGACCTGAAGAGGTTTAGGTTTTAACATGGGATTCCTACACACACACACACACACACACACACACACACACACACACACACACACACACACACACAGTTATTTCCCGCCATTCAGTTGGCTCCCACTAAGACAGAGGACAGCCATAACTCAAAGGCTTTCAACAGCTGCCGTGCATTCCTGACACACATCACCCAGATCAAGGAGAGGGACTGGACGGGGTAACCACACACAATTACTTACTAGGCACAGAGTGGAGGTGAGCTAAGAAGCTCTGTCTTAAGAGCTAGTGTTCCAAAAACAGGTGAGAACATTACTTACTTGTGAGATGTCCTCTTCTTCATCATGTTTGCAGATACTCCAGCATGGCCTACAAGAGAGGCAAGTTACAGTCAGCAAAAAATGGATTAAAATCAAACCCTGACCTCATAAAGCCTGGAATAGGTCATTAACCACCAACATGTTAGAACCATGTTTATTTGACTTCTGTAAAGGAAATACAGACAGACAAAATGACAGATCCAGTGGTTCTTTGCTTCCAGATCAGCCATAAAAATAAAACCAGTTACACGTACAAAATTAGTAAGTGGCATGCCTGACCATAAAGCAGTAAATAAATAGTACAGAACTCAACTTGTCTTCCCCTTCATAATCTAAGAAACATAGGGACTATCTGGTTTAGGCACCAGGAAGCAAAGGCCTATAGAACTGACAGCCAATCAACATATGAGACGGTCACCACTGACCCTGAATTCATTCTGAAAGCCACTTTTGGATGATGCTATTTGAAGGGAGCAGGACCCTGCCAGGTAGATCATCACACTGGAGTTAGAAAGGACTGCCTGTCGTTCCCATGTAGCAATGCAGTGTATACAGGGAGAACTACTTAGAACTCCAAACCTCAATAAGCTGGGGTCCAGCTAAACAGGCATGTGAATGTGAGTAAACTCTGAGAAATCACACATCAGTAAAGCTGTTCAAATTCCATCTAGCCACTTCTTGGACTAGGGAAGCAATCAGAAACAAAATAAAAAGACAAGCCACAAAAGACCCCTCAAGACATCCACAGCAGCCAACATAAGATAGAAAACAAAACTGCACCCTCCACACCTGCTTTTTTTTTTTTTTTTTTTTTTTTACGAGACAGGGTTTCTCTGTATTGTTTTGGAGGCTGTCGGTACAGCCTGACCTCGAACTCACAGAGATCCGCCTGCCTCTGCCTGTCGAGTGCTGGGATTAAAGACGTGTGCCACCACCGCCCGGCTTCCACACCTGCTTTAATGTCTTAAAATGCCCAACAACTTCTCTTAAAAATCATTAGACAAGAAAGGTCTAAGTATCTAACTCAAGACCCTCACTTTGATCTCTCTCTCCTCTTCTTCTCTCTCTCTCTCTCCCTCTCTCTCTTCTTCCTCTCTCCCTCTCTCCCTCTCTCCCTCCCTCCCTCCCTCCCTCCCTCTCTCTCTCTCTCTCTCACAGTAACCCAGCTTTGTGTCACATGTCAGCATTGGGAGAAGGGGGGTGCAAACCAGACAGACACTAATAACCAAGTAGGTTATAATCAAAACAAAATGTTTAGTATGTAAGGACATTAAAAGGTAAACACAGGCCGAGCGGTGGTGGTACAAGCCTTTAAACCCAGCACTCGGGAGGCAGAGGCAGGCGAATCTTTAAGTTCGAGGCCAGCCTGGTCTACAAAAGCTAGTTCCAGGACAGCCTCCAAAGCCACAGAGAAACCCTGTTTTGAAAAAAAAAAAGTAAACACATCCAACTAATATAACTGGGGTGACTAGTAGGCTATGTAAATCAGGAAGGCCAGTCCATAGCGACACAAACTCCCCAAACCTATACAAAGAAATAAATGAGAATGAAACCAACCCCAGCCCCAGAGACCCAGAGATCAACACCCACAGGCCTAACACACAGGAAGCTAGACTGCAATAGAGAAGAGGCAGAGAACAGCAAAGGCCAAGTGGAGCTGTGAGAGATGCTTGAGCACGGGCTGGTGAGCAAGCAGGAAGGCAGCCGGCACAGGACGCCTAAACTAACTTCTGACTACCATGACAATACTGTCACAGGCGCAAGACAAACAACACTGCCAAACACATGGATAAGCAGGAAGGCAGCCGGCACAGGACACCTAAACTAACTTCTGACTACCATGACAATACTGTCACAGGCGCAAGACAAACAACACTGCCAAACACATAGATAAGCAGGAAGGCAGCCGGCACAGGACACCTAAACTAACCCTGAAAACCATGACAATACTGTCACAGGCGCAAGAAAAACAACACTGCCAAACACGTAGATAAGCAGGAAGGCAGCCGGCACAGGTCGCCTAAACTAACCCTGAAAACCATGACAATACTTTCACAGGTGCAAGACAAACAACACTGCCAAACACATAGATAAGGGAAATCAAGACAACTCGAACCAGTAAAACAGTGATTCAGTCCTCAACCCACCAATTGACAGCCAAAGTGTCTTGCAGTCCAGTTACACCAACAAGGACTGAGACAGACTTAAACTTCAGGACAAATGATATCACCATGGATCACAAAAGACACTTCAAAACAGTGTGCTTAATTAATCAAAACGCCACAATAACTTTATATAGACACAAGCCTAATTACAGAATACTGAAATCCATGGAGGGGGGAATCACACATAAGCCATGTACACTTATTAAACTCTGTTCTCTTGGCAATTGGTGTTAACAGGTAGGTAGAAAACCAGGAAGGAAAGACACCTGAGCACCACAACAGACAGCTTGAAACCCGTATCAAAACGTATTTCCTCTGGACCCCAGGGTGACACTCACCCAGTTGTTCTAGTTGTATGCTGACTCATAATGAGTCTAATTATATACTTTAAAATATCCTGAAATCACACAGAATGTACTTGCTTACCAGATCAGCATTAAACTGGGCATAAAAACAACAAAGTTCTCTCAACAGTTAGAATAAGAAACACAACACAGCAAGCTTAGAGGCTTCAAAGCAAGCAGCACTTTGACTCATCAGAGGCACACACTGAATGGCCAAGAATGAAGAGGCCGAGGCTGAGACTGGATGGAAGGCTTCTTCAGTACATGCCAGCTCCCTCCTTGTCCTATGTTACGTAGTGTCTGTACAGCTTTCCAACACTGACTAAAGGTACAAAGCAGCCACTACAGCTCTCAATCAGAGACAAAGACGGCATATTGGGGACCTGACTGCAGGAGGGCCACCTGGACCCACTCAGGGAAGAAAAACAACAAGAAAAGAAGTGTGTAATAGCCAAAGTCAGCCAGCAGTGGGAGCGACCATCCCTGATGTGTCCCTAGACACCTCTGACAGAGTGCCAACGAAGGCACACTAGAACTACATACAATGTTTCCACCCCTTCTCCCATCCCATAGTATCCCACCCCTCGTGATCCTACTCTGGACACACAGCACGCTGGCTTCTGGAAACAGATACCTCAAAAGCTACAACAGCCAGGCCACTGTCTCTGACCCCTGAAGTAAAACTTCACTGAAGCAGTCACTCTTGGACCGCCAGCCCCCAAATCATGACACGGAGACTTATTGTTAACTATGAATGCTTGGCCTTAGCTTAGGCTTGTTTCTAGCTAGCTAGCCTTTTTTTTTTTTTTTTAACTTAAATTAATCCAAGCTGCCCTGAGGCTTGTTTACTTATCTACACGCTGTCCATCCCGCTTTCCTGCTTCCTCTGTGTCTGTCTGTCTGGCCCCCTTTATCTCTACCTATCCCTCCTCTGCCTAGCTACTGGCCGGTCAGCTTTTTACTAGACCAATCAGGTGCCTTAGGCAGGCAAGGAGAAACAGCAACACATCTTTACATAATTAAACAAATGCAGCATAAACAAAAGCAACTCACCCTTACATAGTTAAACAATTTTGCAACATAAATGTAACAAATGTTTACTTAAACAAATATTCTATTTTGAACACTTCACTATATTATACCATGTATCATGTCAGTGTTGACTTTCTCACTGAGAACCTATTTCACTGAGTAAGAAAAGGTAAGTAAGCATTATGCCTAAATACCTGTGAGACTGAGGCACCTGGAGACAAGCAACATGGGTGCGGAGATGATCCGAGAAATCAGAGGTGACTGGGGAACAGTGCAGTCAAGGGACCAATGTGACAGAGGCTATTAGTCCCAAAGCGCCTGAAAATTAAATTGTAACCAAGACAATCTCCAGTTTCTGGCCGAGCTTGTAAATATTTAAGTTGCTCCTCTGTCTTTATCACAAGCAAAACACTAAAAATCTCAGCAGTGCTCCTTAGATTGGGCAGAGAATCAAAGTCACAAGACGGCAACTGCTCATATTAGAAGGAGATAAACAGAAAGAACAGCACCTAGGCAGTCAGACCTCATCCAGGAGGCCGAGCCATGTGGGAGCAACCTCAGCTTGTGTTGCTGGAGTTACTAGAGTCCAACCAGACAATGGGATTGAGGCACACTCTTCCAGGGGCCTACACTTTAGCTTACCTCTAAAGGCTGATGATGTGGACAAGCTGTCCTGTGCCCCTAGGGCAGGATGGTAGAGAGCCATGACATTCATGCCCTAGAGGCTGAGCCAATCACACAGAGAATGAGTTAATGGAAAGAGTGAGCAACACACAGAACCAAACAGGCAGGAAGGTGCTGAAATCACTTAAAAAAGAAGCCAGGCACAGGTGCACACCTACAATCCCATAAGTGGGGAGCAGGGGCAGGAGGACCACACACAACAGCAAGGCCAGCACAGTCCACATGACAAGTTCAAAGGCACCCATGTGAGATCTATGCAGCTGGGCTTCTTTAAAGTGAACACTCTGCACCCTGGCTATGCTATGCTGTCTATAGGCAAGAGAACCAAAGACACAGGGCCAGCCTGGGCAACAAGCTCTGAAACATTAATAACCTCACTTGATCACACTTTTTCTAATGCTCAAGTGCCTAGAAGGTTAGGTACTCTATTTATAAGCACAGCATGTTGGCAAATGCCTTTATCTTAACACAGGGGGCCACAAGCAGGAGGATCAACATGTTCAAGATCCTGTGGCAAAAAAAAAAAAAAAAATTTAAAAAAGTAAGACAGACTGCTCATTTACTAATTTAATAAAAAATTCTGTAAGGTTATTTTGCTATTATTGTTGTTGTTTGAGGAGAGGGTTTTAAAAATCAACACTTTTAAGCTGAGTGGTGGCAGCACAGGCCTTTAATCACTGCACTTGGGAAGCAGACAGGCAGATCTCCAAGTTCAAGGCCAGCCTGGTCTATGTAGAGAATTCCATCCAGAACTGCCATGGCTACACAGAGAAATCAAGTCTCAAAACACCCCCCCCCCAATCTACACTTTTATTCTTGGTACTTTTAGCTATGTACCACAAAAAAATCAGAATGGATTTCTGTTTCAGGAGAAGGGTGTGGACTTAGTGTTTGGTTTAGTTTTGTTTCTGAGACAAGACTTCATGTAGTTCAAGCTGGCCTGGAACTTGCTACTATGTGATGGGGAAGTAGCCTTGAATTCCTGGTCTTCCTGACTCTACTACAGAGTTGCTGGAATTACAGATACACTAGGTAGACCTCTTTCAGCTGAGATGTACATCTACAAACTGAGTAAGAGCCTCCTTCCGTCTGTCTCAGAGCCACTCAATCTCCTCAATCTCACTAAATCTAACATTCCAGCTTCTTCGAGTAAAACTAAAGCCTTGATTTTATTATATTCTTAAACAGATACTTGAAGTTCACTTGTCAGGTTTACCACTTACCTATAAATTGCTAGGCTATACAGAAAACAGTGTTCAGCATGATGGCTCCCTTTTCAAGAAAGCAAAGCTCTTCTTTCCCCCGCAGCAAGACACAAAGCACTAGGAATGGAGAAGAGCAGTCGTGGTCCCTGTTCTAAGTGTGTATCACACTGCAGTGCTTACCTGCATCAGCTCTGGACCGCTGGCCAGGTGTCTTCCCGAATGGGGTCTTCATTCATCTGTATTTATGTGAGCAGCAGAGCTGCTGGACTAGGGTGAAAATCCAGTATTTTCAGATATGAAGCTTCCCACGGGTTAATGTTCTCGTTAATCCACCATCCAGGTGTCTCTTTCACAAGTTCAGCAAAAACATGTGGAATCCCAAACACTCTGTAAAATGAGCAAGAAGACAACAAAATGCCAGTGAGCCACTAAACGGCAGGAAACGGAAGCACAATTCTCAGCTAAAAGGCACTGATCTCTGAAGCAATGAAGTAGTTCCCAGCAAAGGCAAGGCATGGCAGTGTAAAGGGGAAAGCCTGGACAGGTGCAGCCCCAGTGGGGAGAAGACAATATAAAGAGACTAGAGAGCCCTTTCCTGTTACAGCCTAAGGCACCTTGCTGCTAAGCACCAGGGGCAGCAAATACTGGGATTTCAGAGCACAGACTTTCTCCTGGGGGTGGGGGAGGCCACAACGGTTCAGGTCACTCAGGGAGGGGAGATGCAGCTGGCAGACCAAGGCCGGGGGAAAAGAAGATGACATAATTATGTTTCTCTCCTTTTGTGTTCCCAACCTCTCAGAACTGCCAAGGAAACTTTCCCACCCATGCAGATGATAAATCGTTTCACAAAAACAGTACAATTTATATCCTGGTTACAGGAACTCTACATTTCAGGTAGTAAAACCTATCCAGACACATCTCAATCACTTTTCCAACTGCTCTAGGGTCTCAGTGTTACTGGCTTAGATAAGCGCTCCTATGGCCTGTCTTTTATTTCAGCTGGTTACTTGTACTTGTTAAATAAACAATTCCCACGGTTTTCCCATCTTTCCCTCTTCGGTCCTGGCTGAGATCACAAGGAGTGTTCATCACAACCCAGGTCTTCCCTGCTTGTTCAGTTCCCCCAGTCTTCCCGTGGCCCAGCCCTCTTTCTGCTGTGCTTACAGTTAAAGCACTAACCGTGAAGATAAAACACAGGCTTTTATGTCAACTGAATTCTCTCGAAAACCTGAGCAGCATTCAGCACTGCTACTCATAGCCTGGCAGACAGGCTTGCCATGTGTACTACAAAGAACTTCCCACCACCCCAAGTGACAGCTGCCCTGGGATCCTTGCTACTTACTGTAACACAGATACACTGTCCTGAGCCCTCCAGACTCAGCCCTGTCATTGGGCCAACCAATTCCAATCTTCCTCTGCATGAATTTTACCACAGGAGTATCAGCATACAATTAAGATGATATAGTGCTTTCCAACTTTGAAAGATAACCCTAGGCTTGGAAGAGATGGCTACGCCCTTAAGAGATCTTGCTGTTCAAACAGAAGAGCCTAAATTTAGTTCTCAGCACCCACACAGAACCCACAATTCCAAGGGACCTGACACCCTCTGCTGACTTTGGGCCCAGGTATACACATGGTACACATACAGAAAGACAAAACACTCACTACACATAAAATAAATGCAAACCTTTTTTTCCCCGCTTGTTTGAGATAGAGCCTTACTGTATAGCCAGCCCTGGTTGGATTCAAACCCAGGGACAAACATGCCTCTGTCTCCCAAAGGCTGGAATTAAAGGTATGTGCCACCACACCACACCTGGCAAAAACTAAATCTTAAAAAAAAAAAAAAGCTACTCATAACTCCAACCCTCTTCGCCGCTTTTATTTACAAAAGTACTTCAAAAACTATGAAAACTAACTTGTATATGTATTAATGTGCTCAGGAGCCTCATTTCTTATATGAAATTTAGGTTACTAATGTTCTGGAGTGTATGTGTGTCCTTCCAACTAAGAGGCTTCAACTAAACCTTTAAGAGAAACTGGGGAGCTGCCAACACGGGTTCTCTGCTCCCTAGTAGTGTTTGCATACACATCGTTTATGAGCATGCGGCACAGGAGCGCAGAGGCTCCAGGTAGCCTGGGGCGTCTGTCATCCTTACCTTCCGGTCTCAGCCACCAGTGTGCTGAGGTGAGCACACAGCCTGGGGCATCAGGCTTCACCCTGGACTGTTTCAGTTTGTCCGTTCTCCACCGGTGCCTGACCCACGAGCTTCCAGGGACTCTCCTCCCCATCTCTGTAAGACTGCTGGGACCAGAGACACCCCTCTATGTCTGGTTTACACGGCAAGTACTTTTTACACCACTGAGTCATTTCCCCATCTCTACAAGGGGACTTGTGGAGCAAAAAAATGTGCAGTAAAGTTCCTAGAAAAAAGCCACACCTATGGCTGACTAATTAGAACTTCATGACTATGTAATGAGAAGGAATACAGCAGATCCAATCTTAGCCTATCTTTACTCTCTTTATTTACTGTCCACCTAAGTGTCTGACCTAACATCCTTACGACTATCAGATAAAACCCTTCTAGGAATGTACACAAGGTCTTTATATAGCACAGATTCCACTTTGCTGTAGCCTGCCGACCTGATACTTCCACCAAATCTTGATTTATGATTTCATTTTGTTCCCAAACTATAAAAATTCCATGAAACCATTTCCACACTGATTTGGAACACGGTGTTCGGAAGAGCCTTAATCTCTAGTCGTAAGCCAGCCATAAGAATTAACTCATACTCCCTTTGAGTTGTGTTTACTGCTAGTAACAATGCAACATTTCTACACTCGTGAGTTCCAATCAGTGAACACAGTCTAACTTCATTCCAACTCTGGTTTAAAACCATCAAGAAATGTAGCTAGCTCCCCATGACACTGCGTGTCTGCTGAGCCCTGTTCTTCTCTGAATGGATGCCACAGAGTGCTTCAAAAAGTCAGGTGAAGAAGACTGTTCTGAAAATGAATTGCTATTTGACTGGAACTAATTTAATTCATTCAAGTTTTCTAAAGGCACAAATCATGTTTAAGTTGTTGTATTATATAGTTTACTAAATAAAACCTGAAGGAAAAAGTAAACAAATCTAGTCCTTTTTAGGACTGCATCCACTATACTGGTCCCCTCTCCTACCCCAGTTCTGTAGGAAACAGTCACCAAGAGACACTTACAAGCCACTGAAAGAGATGAGGGGACTAGGTGGCCCACTGGTTAAGAACACTGCTTGCTCTTCCTGGACTAAATTCCCAGCACCCACATCACATGCAGCTCATAGCCATTGTAACCCAGTTGCAGGGAATCTGACTCCCTCTTCTAGACATACACACACTCACACACTCACACTCACACACAGGCATGCATGCACTCAGGGGTGGGGACTGGAGTCTTTACAATGGAAACTGGGCCTTCATTTCTGGGAGACAAACAAACAATTATCCTTTAATAATGACCCCAAGGTTCACTGTAAGATGTAATTGAAGTGACTGATGAAAACACACTGTACTGACTGGTCACAAACATGGCACACACTACTACTGCATGTGCTTCCTGTGTGAACTCTCATGCCTTCCACACTACACGCCGCAGACACCACACTACTGCATGTGCTTCCTGTGTGAACTCTCATGCCTTCCACACTACACGCCGCAGACACCACACTACTGCATGTGCTTCCTGTGTGAACTCTCATGCCTTCCACACTACACGCCGCAGACACCACACTACTGCATGTGCTTCCTGTGTGAACTCTCATGCCTTCCACACTACACGCCGCAGACACCACACTACTGCATGTGCTTCCTGTGTGAACTCTCATGCCTTCCACACTACACGCTGCAGACACCACACTACTGCATGTGCTTCCTGTGTGAACTCTCATGCCTTCCACACTACACGCTGCAGACACCACACTACTGCATGTGCTTCCTGTGTGAACTCTCATGCCTTCCACACTACACGCCGCAGACACCACACTACTGCATGTGCTTCCTGTGTGAACTCTCATGCCTTCCACACTACACGCTGCAGACACCACACTACTGCATGTGCTTCCTGTGTGAACTCTCATGCCTTCCACACTACACGCTGCAGACACCACACTACTGCATGTGCTTCCTGTGTGAACTCTCATGCCTTCCACACTACACGCCGCAGACACCACACTACTGCATGTGCTTCCTGTGTGAACTCTCATGCCTTCCACACTACACGCCGCAGACACCACACTACTGCATGTGCTTCCTGTGTGAACTCTCATGCCTTCCACACTACACGCTGCAGACACCACACTACTGCATGTGCTTCCTGTGTGAACTCTCATGCCTTCCACACTACACGCTGCAGACACCACACTACTGCATGTGCTTCCTGTGTGAACTCTCATGCCTTCCACACTACACGCTGCAGACACCACACTACTGCATGTGCTTCCTGTGTGAACTCATGCCTTCCACACTACACGCCGCAGACACCACACTACTGCATGTGCTTCCTGTGTGAACTCTCATGCCTTCCACACTACACGCTGCAGACACCACACTACTGCATGTGCTTCCTGTGTGAACTCTCATGCCTTCCACACTACACGCTGCAGACACCACACTACTGCATGTGCTTCCTGTGTGAACTCTCATGCCTTCCACACTACACGCTGCAGACACCACACTACTGCATGTGCTTCCTGTGTGAACTCTCATGCCTTCCACACTACACGCTGCAGACACCACACTACTGCATGTGCATCATCACTCTGCCAACGGAAAAGGCCATCAGCGTACAATAACCTTGTCAAGGTCACACAGACTAAATGCAGCACTGCTGGAATAAATGCTTTGCTGCAAAGAAAAAGCACGCAGGCATGGTGGAGCATGCCTGTGACTCCAACCCTGCAGGTACTGACGCTGAACAAAGTGCCCTCAGGGCAAGCCTGGACTACACAATGATCAAAAAACCAGATGACACGCATTGAACCTTGGAGGTTAAGAAACTGGTATTTCAATTTTTCGACACCAGGAAAGATGTACTCAAGAGGCCGAGGCAGGAAGATCTCACGTGTTAGGCCAATCTGGGTCCAAATCAACAAGCAGTAATAGCCATGTGTGCAAAAGGGACATAAAAAGACTTCTGCCAGCTGCTATCACCAACGCTACTTATAAGAAGAAATTGGTAATTGCTAAAGCAAATCTTTTTTTAAATTATTTTATGTGCATTGGTGTGAAGGTATCAGAGCCCCTGAAACTGGAGTCCCAGACAGTTGTGAGCTGCCATGTGGGTGCTGGGAATTGAACCAGGTCCTCTAAAAGGGCAACCAGTGCTCTTAACTGCTGAGCCATTTCTCCA